AGATTAGACGCTCCTTGTGTTTATTATTATATTTCGAAAACACCACAGTTTTCATGCAGCTCATACCATATTATTTTGTTGTATTATTTCCGCCACACCTTAAATGCCGGTCCCTGAAAATATTGTCTGACATAAACCGGTCCGTGGGGCAAAAAAGGTTGGGGACCCCTGATCTACAGTACGTTCCAACCCTCATCTATAGTCACGAGCTATGGGTCGTGACCGAAAGAACGAGATGAATGAGTTTTCTCCGCAGGGTATCCGCGTTCTCCCTTAGAGATAAAGTGAGAAGCTCGGTCATCCGGGAGGGGCTCAGAGTCGAGCCGCTTCTCCTCCACATCGAGAGGAGCCAGATGAGGTGGGTCGGGCATCTGATTAGGATGCCTCCTGAACGCCTCCCTGGTGAGGTGTTCCGGGCATGTCCCACCGGGAGGAGACCCCGGGGACGACCCAGGACACGCTGGAGAGACCATGTCACCCAGCTGGCCTGGGAACGCCTCGGGGTCCCTCGTGAAGAGCTGGAAGAAGTGGCTGGGGAGAAAGAAGTCTGGGCTTCCCTGCTAAAGCCTCTGCCCCTGCGACCCGACCCCGGATAAGCGGTAGAAGATGGATGGATGGAAAATTGAGAGTTTACCTTGTTGTTGAGTTGTTGAAGAGTCGTGCGGTGACTTCTCTCGAGTTTTTCCTTTTCATCATCAATGTTCTGTCGATGCTGTTTCTTCAGACTGTCAACTTCTGACTGCAATGACTCAATTAGCCGGGTCTTCAGCGCCACTTCGTTTTGCAGCGTATATTTGTCTTGCTTAAGATCCTTGGACAAAATCAGAGAGACAGAAGAACACTGTGTCTCAGCAAATCCTTCACAGGGTACGAGAGAGATAATTGATAACCTTCACAAGTAATGCCAAATTTCTGTCCAAAGTCGGAAGTGCACCTGAATGTGACTAGTTCACACTTTATTTCTTATGTATATACGAGGGTCATTCAATAAATAAGGTGAATTTTTCGGGATAATGACTTGTAATACAGAAAGAAGCTTACTTTTTTTTTCCCAACGTAATCTTCCAGCACTGTCATTATTATTATTATTACCACATTTCCCATTCTGTGCACAAGCTTCCATTTTCCCTCGGCGTAAAAATCTTTGGACTGATGTCTCAGCCAGTCGCTCAACAACCCTTTTGACTTCATCGTCACTTTCAAATTTGGTGCCTCTTGTGAACGCTTTTAAGGGACCAAACAGGTGAAAGTATTGTATTCGTGCAATGATTTTGGTTCCATTTTAAAATGCATAAACATTTATTGCTGATTTTTAATTTTACAGCCACAGTATCGCCTTCAATCTAAATTGCTCCATCATTTATCTGAGTTGTGAGTTGGTGACTGGTCGACGATCAAAACAATCAATTTTTCAAAAACTGTGGTAGCTTTCATCGAATTTAATCTTTCACGTGTTTGCATGTTTATGTTGTATGGTTAGCCATTAAAAAAAAAAGACATATTCAGATATTTAATAAACCTGCATAAAATAATCATAAACTTTTGATCTTGATCCGGCCCCCAAGGAGGTTCGATCAGGCCTGCAGGATCATTTAAAAGTGAAAAAATGCATATAAGACACGGAACGAATATTTTTAATAAGGTGCAATTCATGGAGTATACGCTAGTAACACTGCTTTGATCAGAGAATAAGACAACAGCAGTCTCAGTCTGTCACTGCGACAGACCCAACACAGCATACGCTATTAAGGACATGTGAATACTTTATTCTTTACACATTTAATAGCACTCTCCTTAGTTTGTAAGGTGTAGGCAGGGATTACATTTTGATTTTATATGCACATGTGTAAATAGTTGAAAAATTCCTTTCTTTATAAATGTCATTTCATCTTAAAATGCATTACTATATTTTTCAACACCAATTACAGTACTTGTTAAAGTTGTATGCCTTTGTACAATCAGTGGGATCAGTTGTAATGCATATATGTCAATGATGAAAGTAAATTGCACATTTGTCAAAGGAAATCTAAGGTGCTTCATTAAATGTTTTGTAAAAGACATGTTCATTAAATTTCAACATGTTCCTAATGGTATTGTGCCTCTTTAGACCAAAACAAAGGAAATACATATTATTTCGGTTATTTATAGCGGAGTACAGTATAATTTTAATGGTCCGGCCCACTTGACATCTACAGAGGCCGTATGTGGCCCACAATGTGAAATGAGTTTGACACCCCTGGTTACAGTATTGTGTGGTTAACTCGTGTCCAGCCCATGACATAACCCCGTCTCCCCCACTGACCTGTAGTAAACAGGGATAGGATCCAGCTCACCCGAGACTGTGCAAAGCTAAAGTAGTTGAAAATGAATGGGTGGATTTAGAATGTCATACCTCCAGCGCACTTGTCATCTCTATTCTCTGTTCCTCAAACCGAGTTTGCATTTCTGTTAACTGATTAAGTAGATCCAAGCCAGCATGGGCAGCCTGTTGGACTTGCTCCTCCTTTTGCCTCAGTAGGCCCCGGAGACGGCGTATCTCATCCTCTGTTGCTGGGTCAGACATCTGATGAGACAAAAATTTGGATTGTACTCAGAAAAGGTGATTGGCCCTGAGCTGCGGGTGGAGACCAAGGCTTACAGTCAATATTTTTCGCCTATAAAAATCAATTCCCAAATTTGACTGTCTCCAACATTGCAGAAATGATGGAGAGATCAAATCAACAACCTGGCTGAGATTTGTGCTGTTGTTTGTGTGTGAATGTATTTTGAGCTGCAAACTACTTCTGGTTTGTGACATGCTGACATTCCCATGTAAACAAGAGCCCTTAATACTAGTGATGGGACAAAATGTGCTGAGGCTCCAGGGCTTGTGTCAAGTAATGGGAGGGGCGTTCCCACGAAGCGTGTGTCAAGGCACTTCATTTGGGCAAAACTCTGAGATGATGACGTGTGATGCCTCGCTGGCTGGCTGGACGACGTGACTGCTTCAGGAAGTAGTTTGATGGTTTTTGGCGGGCATTGCAACGACGGTATAAAACGGCCACAAAATACAATGGTGATCGCTGGTCATCTCACATTTTGTGGATTCTGGGTTGTTATTATACAGACATGTATGCAACTGCAATCTTTTTTTTTTTTTTTAAACCTTGTCCATTGTTGCAATGCTGATTGGGAACATTTTGATTTGATTGCCTCTAATAAGGTAACATAAAGAGAAAAACAAGCGATCTTAATATAAATGTGAAAATGGGGCTTTTCTCTTGGCATGTTTAATGCTGGTCATGAAGCTTGTATTTGGAGATCTTCTCAATTTTTCTTAACCCTCTGAAGTTGGGACGGCCGACTGAGGGGCCCTCCGTCATCTGTCAAAACAAATCGCTGATGCACGTCGTCATGTGTGAACATGTTATACATCTTTTAAAAGCTGAGTTTCTGGAGATTTGAATGGTGCCCAACATTTTACAAATGTCAAATTTGAACTGGAACTTGGGGAGACCTCAAGCTTTGATCCTGTAGTGTTTTCAAGTCCTAATCAACATTCTAAATTCATTTTCAAGGCAGATTTTGTGAAAAGAAATTAGACGAACATAAGATTCGCCTTTCCTTTCTGTTTTCAAACATCCATAGTTCAGTGACAGGAGCACTTATACAGATTCTGGCTGTTGGGGGCGGTATTCAAAATGATAACATTTTTAATATTTCATAAAGAGACCAAAACTATGCTGATACGCCGAATGGTTCAAGAACAGCTACAAATTTACTTTGGGTGCACCTTTTTTCAGGCGTTTTTGGCAAAATTGCCCTCAGCCTAAGGCCATGTTAAACAGTCTTGTGTCGCTCGTGAAGGGCTGTCTGTTCTAGTGACAAAGAAACAAACACTGAACATTACAACCTGCATAGTATGAAAAACGTTATTTTCTGTTGCAACGCCTTTCGCGTGAATACTTACTTATCAGACCTCCTTCGCAATTTTCCGGTATACAAATTAAACAGTAGTCACAAGCGAGAAGTCGCGAAGAACTTCTGATAAGTATTAAATCAGAAAGCGATGCAACATGGCACACGTAAAACAAGCAGGTGAACAGCTATGCTTGTTCCGAGACTTAATTAGATTTATTGTATTAAGGTCGTTTGTTTCACTGGTACTGCAATCCCAAAGCGATTCATTCTAATTTGCTTCGATGTAACGCTAGAAAACAAGTGAAACTTTTAACTCACAGTAATCTCAGGACGACACCGCCTTTTTTTCCAATTTTTTTTTTCTTCTTCTTCTTCTTCTTCTTCTTCTTCTTCTTCTTCTTCTTCTTCTTCTTCTTCTTCTTCTTCTTCGTCTCCTCCTACTGCCGCGCCCTCTTTTTCTTCTTCGCTTCTTCGCCTCCTCCTCGTCGCCCTTTTTCTTTTTTCTTCTTCCTCTACTTCTTTCTCCTCTTCCTCCTTCCCTTCCTCCTCCTCCTACTCGCCGTCGTCGTGGGTTTTTTTTTTATTTAATAAATATTTATTGAACAAGTAAAATTATAAGTCACAGAAAACAAAACGAACAAGTTATTAAAACATGTACAGAATACAGGAGACAAACAAAAAGAAGAGTCAAGGAATTTTCAACAAAAATTCCAAATAATAAGCACAGAGCCAGAGTCTTAACCTCTTTCTTGTTTTTGGAATCCATAATAGAATTCAAATACTGCTTGGTTTCTGCTTCAAAGATTAAGAAGAGGTTTTGAACGACTACATTGAGATTTGTGGATATGTAATTTAGCTAGAATAATTATTACATTTATAATAAAGCCTCGTTTAGTCTTTTTTCATCGTTAGTGAAGAAGCCAAACAGTACATTTTTCCAATAAAGTGTAAAGTCAGAGTCAATCCGTCTCTCTTGACAGATCTATGAACGGTGTCTCTCCATGTTTTTTTTTCCTTCTCAAATAAATCTCATCATTTTTTAAAATACTTGTTTTGGTTTCCCTGGACAAGACAGTTACAGGTAGGTTAAATTTATTTAAAAATTCAAAGTACCTTCAAAGAAAACCTTCATTATTGATAAATTGACTGACCAGGATTAATTTATTACTGAACCAATTAGGAAGAAATAATGATCTATTCTTATATAAGCTCTAACACCTATTCCAAATAAAACATTTATGAGGGGAAAAGTTATGTTCATAGATCAAATGTGTCAAATGCCTTATAGAAGTCCAGAAATAAAAGGTAACTATTGTCAGAGCAGAGGAATGAGTAATTAACCCATTTAATCCCACCGGTCACATTTGTGAAGGACAACAATGATTTAATTTACAGGGCTCTAAATGTTTTTATTTTATTTTTTATTATTTTATTTATTCTTTCCTTTCTCTATAAAGCGGAATAAAGACCCAACACCACACCGTCTTTTCTGCAGTTTGTCACAACACAATACAAATCGATTCGCACTTCTGAGAGTTTCAGATTTCGTCGGGAAGCGCCGGAAAAATAGTCACAAGTATCTATAGAGACAATATGATAATGAGAGGCGGGCAGTTACGCCTTCATGCAAATCCCGGAAACAAGGAAATTAACATGTCATCTGATCTGGTGTGGCTGGAAAAAGTTGGACGTGGTGAGGTCAGACCAGACCACCGCTACCCCCGATTGTCTTCGGTCTGACCTTTGATGTGATGGCAGCAACACAGATACTGTACTTGAGGTAACATTTCCTCTTTTGACGTTAAACATGTCCTCGAGAGGAGTCCTAAAAATGGTGGAGGTGAAGGGGGCACTTAAAGGTGATTGTAATCACAGTCAGCAGGAAATACCTTCGGCCGCATACTACATTCTTTCTTTCAAGTGTTTGAACAGATCCAACAACAGAGAGGGGCTAGAAAATCACAGTAAAGAATACATTTCTCAACACTCCCTGGCCAGTGCACCAAAGGAGTAATACATTAAAAACATATAAGATGTCATGCTTTGTCCATTTAAAATGTGGTCAATGTGTTGCTTTGGCAAATTTGGCCTCAGGCCACAAAACCCGTGTAGACTGGTTGGGTAAGCTCCAATGTACCCTTGAACACCCTGTCGAGGATGTAGAGCTGGTCCACAGTTCCACGGCCGGGATGAAAATCACACTGCTCCTCCTGAACCTGACGTTCGATTTCCCAACTAATCCTCCTCTCTCCACTGGGTGTGACTCCCTTATTCATATGCTGCTTCTTCTAAGCCAACAAAACCCAATGTTATGAATTTCAATATCTTTATACAGATATCGATTGACAATAAAGTAAAATGTATGAGCATCCTACTCTTCAATCCTCCAAAATTACCTAAAACAGTATTCATATCGAGCCATTCAGTCCAAAATGCATATCGAGATACTTTGCCACCTGTACATCCACTAAAATATTATATACATACAGTGTGCATAAAGGCTCGGTGTCATGATTCGGTTTGGGACCAACAGGTGGCACTGTAGGGCTTCCCCTGCAGCTGCACACCTGTTGGTCATTAGGCAATTAGTGCTTTAAAAGGACTCCCAGCCCGACTACTCATGGTCTGGTCATTGTTGCTCTTTGCTACTGTCATGTTTGTTTTTTGCCATTTGTCTGCTGCTGTCAGGTTTGTTTTGGTCACAGTTCTGTTCTAGCTTCAGTTGTGATTTTTGTTTGCTACTTTGTTTGTTTTGGATTTAGTTTTCTCTATGTTTTAATACAATTCTTCAAGTACACCCTGCTCCTCCCTCCTGCCTGCTTTTTTGGGGTCCACCACCTCGCAACGTGACACAACTTTTGGTAGATCTTGGGTGAAACTTTCAACCAGAGTGCATTCCTTAAAAATCTGTAGGGGCACAACGATGCCATTTTTTTCAGTCAAGCAAAAACAAATAAAATATTATTTTGCCAATCATGCTGTATGTGCAAAGTTTCTCCGAATGGTAAGATCAGCGATTTCAGTGTTGTTTTTTTTAGTTGGGAAACGTCACCACAGCAACAACATTAGACAAAATAAAAAGCGTAATTTCTACTTTTCATCTTGACCATCTTTACCTGGAAACACCCAATTTCAAGACAATTGGATAAAATCTATAGGAGGAATTCTTTAAAATGTGACCTCTAGAGAAGGCCAAAAAATGAGGGCAAATTTGAAAGGAGATTCAAAAAGTTAGACTTGCGATTAGGTTTAGCATATGGCTCCGTGATATATATTTTCGTCCGTCTTGGGCTGTTATATATGCCTCCAACTTTTCTTCCATGGTTACAAAACATACAACACGGCCGGTTTTCTCAAAAAAATGTCAGGG